GGGCGCCGGGGGAGTGGGGCGCCGTGGGTGAGTGGGGCGCCGTGGGGAGTGGGGTGCTGGGTGAGTGGGGTGCCGGGCACAGGCGGGAAGGGGGAGAGGGCCCTGACCTCCTACCCTTCCCCTGGGCCCTAAGGTCACGTTCAGAGGTCCTTGCACAGTCCCTGCACCAAACATTCGTGTTTACTTTGTAGCCTGGTGGGAGACAGGGAGGAGGTGAGGACTTGAGCGGTGGGTGCCTTCCAGGACATCTTGTTTTGGGTGCTGGCGGGAGGAGTTGGGGCTCCCCCCCATTACAACATGTTCTCTGGGTTCCCTCATACTGACTGGCCTCTTCTTTTTCACAGCGTCTGCAGACAGGGGAGCTGGTGAGTCTGCTCTGTGCCTCCTTGTTTTATGGTGTTATTGCCTGTTCACTAAAAATCAGGCTTGGGTTCAGCATGGGTGGTTCCCCCTTTTTAGTGGGGCCTGGGGTTTGATTCTTGGTAAGAGTCCTGCTGGATCCACCAAAGACCCAAAGACACAAAGGGAATGAGGCTGCTGGAAGTACATGGGTCTGTAGTTGGGTGGACAGTGGACTCTGGCCCAGTGCCCCTGGGAGCTCCTTTGACATCCATGGTCCCTCCAAGGTTATTTATTCCCATTCCTTTCTGCCCTCTGCCCCTCAGCAGGTCTCCCAAAGGCCATGGTGAGCCTCCAGCCCCCCTGGGTCAATGTGCTCGAGGAGGACAACGTGACTCTGAGCTGCCAGGGGGCCCACAGCCCTGGGGACCACTCCACCCTGTGGTTCCGTGATGGGACCCCCCTCCTGACCCAGGTCCAGCCCAGCTACAGCTTCAAGGCCAGCAGCAAAGACAGCGGGGACTACACGTGCCAGACCGGCCAGGCCAGCCTCAGCGACCCTGTGCATCTGGATGTGACTTCCGGTCAGTGGAGGAGGCCGGGAGGGTCTGGAGGACGATGCTGTGGACTCTGCTGACCTGGCACAGGGCTTCTAGGAAAGGGGGTGGCCGTTTTCTGGGAAGCATGACTGTGAGCTGTTGGAAGTAGTTTCTGTCCAGTCATTTCCCCTCTCCCCCCACTCCTTTGCTTCTGTGTGGGTGCCTCGGACTATCTGAGGTTGTTTGGCCTCAGTCCTGATTGAGCAAGAAAGTGACAAGGCCACAGCCAGGCCACCAGGGGGTGAGAGAAGCAGAAGGAAACTCAACTTCACAGAATCCACTTTTCTGGTGAGGCAGGAGCACAGCCGGGTCCCTGACCCAGACGTTACCAGCCATGGAAACAGGACAAGCTCCTTCCCCAAGTCTCAGTTTCCCCCTTTGCTCAGTAGGGGTACTGACCCCCCATAAGGCTCATTTTCCTGCCCCGCCCTCCATGCATTTCCAGTCCTGACACAGGCAGGCTCCACTCATGTTTGCTGACCCAATGGATGATCTCACACCGCTCCTGGCAAAGAGCAGTCTCCATGCAGAGCAGCTACAGCGACCTACCCTGAGGACAGCACCGCTCACCACCCAGTCCCCTTCCCTCAGCCCAAATAGTCCTCAGAAGTGCACAGCAGCCAGGCAATGCTGCTCCCCCTGGGGAAGGGGAGGAGTAGAGGGGACCCACTGAGACAGGCAAGTCTCCACCAAGGGCTACGCCAGGCCATGGGACCAGCACATGAGATGGATGCCCTCCTGGAGGACTGGGTCAGAGCACCAGCCTTGGGGCCCTGGGGCCACCAGAAGTCCAGCCAGCGCAGGGGCAGCTCATAGGTCGCTGTGTGCCCAGCAAGCAGGTGCTGCCCTCTTGCTCTATGGGGTGCTGCCCTCTTGTTCACTCCCAGCAGCAGGAAGNCCAAACATTCGTGTTTACTTTGTAGCCTGGTGGGAGACAGGGAGGAGGTGAGGACTTGAGCGGTGGGTGCCTTCCAGGACATCTTGTTTTGGGTGCTGGCGGGAGGAGTTGGGGCTCCCCCCCATTACAACATGTTCTCTGGGTTCCCTCATACTGACTGGCCTCTTCTTTTTCACAGCGTCTGCAGACAGGGGAGCTGGTGAGTCTGCTCTGTGCCTCCTTGTTTTATGGTGTTATTGCCTGTTCACTAAAAATCAGGCTTGGGTTCAGCATGGGTGGTTCCCCCTTTTTAGTGGGGCCTGGGGTTTGATTCTTGGTAAGAGTCCTGCTGGATCCACCAAAGACCCAAAGACACAAAGGGAATGAGGCTGCTGGAAGTACATGGGTCTGTAGTTGGGTGGACAGTGGACTCTGGCCCAGTGCCCCTGGGAGCTCCTTTGACATCCATGGTCCCTCCAAGGTTATTTATTCCCATTCCTTTCTGCCCTCTGCCCCTCAGCAGGTCTCCCAAAGGCCATGGTGAGCCTCCAGCCCCCCTGGGTCAATGTGCTCGAGGAGGACAACGTGACTCTGAGCTGCCAGGGGGCCCACAGCCCTGGGGACCACTCCACCCTGTGGTTCCGTGATGGGACCCCCCTCCTGACCCAGGTCCAGCCCAGCTACAGCTTCAAGGCCAGCAGCAAAGACAGCGGGGACTACACGTGCCAGACCGGCCAGGCCAGCCTCAGCGACCCTGTGCATCTGGATGTGACTTCCGGTCAGTGGAGGAGGCCGGGAGGGTCTGGAGGACGATGCTGTGGACTCTGCTGACCTGGCACAGGGCTTCTAGGAAAGGGGGTGGCCGTTTTCTGGGAAGCATGACTGTGAGCTGTTGGAAGTAGTTTCTGTCCAGTCATTTCCCCTCTCCCCCCACTCCTTTGCTTCTGTGTGGGTGCCTCGGACTATCTGAGGTTGTTTGGCCTCAGTCCTGATTGAGCAAGAAAGTGACAAGGCCACAGCCAGGCCACCAGGGGGTGAGAGAAGCAGAAGGAAATATTTGTTCCAGAAAACTGTCCTGCCCTCATGGCAGTGTGGTCAGCACCGGGGTGGAGGCCAGCAGAAGGCAAAGGCCCGCAGATGGGTGTGCCTGGCATGCGCAAGGAAGCCTTTCTGCCCAGGGGGCAAGAGGCTGGGGGCAATGGAATCTGGAAGATGAGGGCAAAAGTGGGGAGAGGCTTGGAGTTGGTGCAATGACTTCATCTTTTATTCCCAAAGGAGGTGAGAATTCATTAGATGGTTTAAATTAAGGGAGTCACATGATCTGACTTAGGTTTACGTATATCTGAGTGTTCAGTCTAATAGATTCTGTAGAGAAATCCTCCTACACACAAATCACGCCCCACCCAATCTCTGAAATGTGAACACGTTTATACTGTAGCTGACTTCAACTGCACCTTGGTGCATATGCCCTGAAGACGACTGCATATAAGCATGCAGTGTTAAAATTCTGCATAAGGGTGATTTTTTTTATAGTCTTTTACGGTTCTGGTCTCAAAGAGATCCTGGTGGTGGATTCACTTTCTGCTGATGGTGCTCCAATGAAAGGGGAATAACTATTGACATAGGTGTTCAGAACAGGCTCCCCAAGCTGTGCTACTTTGGCGTGGGAATTATGTTGAGCTGAAGGTGTCGAGACCCAGTGGGTTCATGACGAACTCTTACCTCTCCCTTAAAGAAATTAAATTAAGAGTCATCACCAGAAATGACTTTTTATGGCCTGTCTAGGGGGCAGGGCAAACTACTAACAACTGACCGTCTGTTCTTCTTACTGTCCTGCGGTGACCTTCCCCCTCGGAAGCCTGGTGCCTCACCTCATCCCAAGCTCAGGATGCCACATATCCTTCACTTTCTCCTTCTGTCTGATTCTCTCATGTCTGTGGGGCTCCCGTACATATGCATGTGATTAAATTTATTCATGTTTCTTGTCAATCTGTCTCATGGCTATTTGATTAATAACCAAACAAAAGAACCTGGAAGGGTGGAGGGAAGTTTTTCCCTCCCCTACAGACTCAACTTCAAAACCTGCCCAATGACATCACCTCTACCTATCTGGTCTCTGTGTCCATTGCTGGCCCACAAACAGCCGGTTGTACTTCTCGCTTCCCCTACAAAATAGTAAAAAGTGAGATTTTATAAGTTGGATCTGAAGGGTCACTAGATGGGAAGCACCTGCTCCCGTCCCTACATTGTACAAATAAATTAAGCCCATGAGAGCTCAGAGCCCAGAAGTTCATGTAAAAGCCAAAATCAAGTCCTGACTGCAGGTTTCTGTTCCATGCTGTCTCATCAACTATGCCTTGCTTTTCACATTCAGAATGTGGTTTTCTTAAATGTTTCCATTTAAGAAATTGTAGCATTTATTTTTCTAGGATAGCAATAGCAATTGGATTTTTTCTAATAAGTTTTCTGAAACATTCTTTATAGTCTTGTCCTCCAAAGTGCCTGAACTTTGGAGTCTGACTACTCTGCTATCAATGAAGGGAGGTGGTGGTGGGGAGTGGGGATGTTTGTAGGCAGGGTGGGAAAAGCAATTTTACATTTGAAACCTGTTTTAATGCTCCTCTTGTCCAGAGTTGCAACTGAACACTGAAGTCAAAACCTCACACATTTTCATTGCTTCTGTGGATGGAACATTCCATTCAGGGCGGGCGAGGCCTTACTAGGGCTCCACTCACTCACTTTCCAAAACTTGTTCAGAAGTTGCCATTCAATTACTAATCTCTAGACCATAAACACTGTGTCCACACAAACTGAAGGCTTCAGGTCCTGTTCCATAACCTCTGCAGTTACTGAAGTGAACTAGTTTCCTGACTCCAGTGCAGTGTCACCGGTGTGTGTGTGTGTGTGTGTGTGTTGTGTGTGTGTGTGTGTGTGTGTGAGGGTTCCTCCTCTTTATATTTGAAACTTCTGAAGACTTCTTTCCTTCAGGGGCCCCGCAGACTCACAGGTAACACCATGTTTTGCCTGTAAGAGAATGCTCACATGTGCCACGAAGCATCCTTTCACCTTCTGTGAGTAATGCAGCTGTGGGCACGATGCTGCAAGGGCCTCGGCACCTAGCTGCAGAACCTTTCCTTCCCTTTTGTGTCTTTCAGCCTGGCTGCTGCTCCAGACCCCTCGCCTGGTGTTCCAGGAGGGAGACACCATTGTGCTGAGGTGCCACAGCTGGAAGAACTGGCGTCTGTACAAGATTACATTCTTCCAGGATGAAAAACCCAAGTGGTTTTCCCATGCAAATTCCAGCTTCTTCATCCCACAAGCAAATGTCAGTCACAGCGGCGAGTACCACTGCTCGGGATTCATAGGGCAGATGTCACACTCATCACGGCCTGTGAGCATCACTGTCCAAGGTAGGAACCCAGGGTGTTGAAGGAGCTTCAGGCCTTGGAAGGATGTGTAGGGCAGGGATTCCTTCGGTACCCGTGTTCTCCTGAGTGAGCCTCTTTGACACCAGTGGGAACCCTCAGAGTCCTAGCTCCACCTGATTGCTGTGTGGACATGCAGTTCTCTTCCAGCTCCCTCCTAAAGGATTATAGAAATGGTGTCATTCACTTGGAGTGTTAACTCTCAGGGGACAAAAGCCACCTTCCCATCCTCCTAAATCCATATAGGAGACATCACCACCCTCCCTCTTTTCCACCTCATTCAGACCACTCCACTTTGTCACATGTCCCTCTGTCCATAGGATTCTGAGGCTTGCTTGTGTCTCCCTAGGCTCCAGGCTTAGCTCAGGGCAGCCATGTGGCATGACAGTCTCGCCACATGCCTTTCAGGGAGCATTCCAAACCATTTCTACCAGACGAGTGTTGGGCAGTGAACACAGCCCAGTCCTGGGCTCAGGAGGTGGTGCGGGAAGTACTGTTGATGTGGTCTGTGGGTTCCCTAGTTCACTGTTCTCCAAAGGCTGTTCCGCAGTCACATTATGTTCATAATACACATCAAAGGCTTCAAGAAGCTTTGTTGTAAAGAAAACTTTTAAATTAAGTTTCATAAGGCATTTGCAAAACCCACGTGACCACAAAACCTTTTCCTCTGTAACTTTGTAGGAGAGGAAGAAATGTCCTCTACCCTTCAAGCTTCTCTCATCTGGTCTAATAATTAAATTGATATGAAATAGATTAACAAGAAAATGAACAAATTTAATTACATACATACGTAGGGAGCCCCACAGACAGGAGACGTTCAGAGACAGGAAGAGAAGGTGAGGAATATATGGCGTTCTGAGCTGAGGATGAGGTAAGGCATGGGGGCTTCAGAGGGCAGGGAGGTCATTGCGGGATAAGAGCACATGTTCTGTAGTTAGCAGTTTGCTCCGCCCCCAGATAGGCCATAGAAAGTTATTTCTGGTGGTAGTATCTGGTGTTACTATGGGCAAGGCCCCTGATTTAAAATCTTTCAGGGAGAAGTAGGAATTTCTTGTGAAGCAGGGTCTCAGTTGCCTTCAGCTGAAAATATCCACATGCCAAAGTAGCACAGCTTGGGGAACCTGTTCTGAAACCCTTCAACTTCTGTCAGTGTCCCTCCAAACAGACGGGTGCACGATCACCCACTGAGAAGCGCTGACAGTGCTTTACTGGAAGGCATGGAGATGAAGGGGTGCTCTGCAGACTTCGGACCTGTCTACTCCTGACCAGAGCCTTAGCCCCTAGCCTGGAGGACTTCACAAAGGGAGCACTGGGGACCTGACTGTTGATTCAGATTTCTGCTTTAACAACTGTCATCTCTCCGTTCCTCTGCCTCTTGTAATAGGTCCTGGGGTTCCATCCATCTCGCTGGTCTTTCCACCATGGCCCCAAATTGCATTCTGCCTGATGATGGGACTCCTGTTTGCAGTGGACACAGGGCTGTATTTCTTTGTGCAGAAAGAACTTCAAAGCTCAATGGGGGACTGGAGGGATGACAAAGTCACATGGAGCAAGAGATCTGAGGACAAATGACCCCTCATCCCCTGCATAAGAACTACAGCGCTTCTTCAGGCCAGCCCTCCCCCCCTCCCCCACCCCTCCTGGACGGCAAACGGGCAAAGGGGTCTGGGGAAAGGAAGGGCCTATAAGCTCCAGAGAAGCTCCACTAGGCTCGCCCTCACTGACGTCCTGGCGGTCCAGCTCTGAGGACTGACAGCAAATGTGTTCTCGCAGATCCTAGACAGAGGCTCCTCAAGGATACGAAAGCTCACTAAATTCTGCTTCTACTTTCAAAACAAACCCAGCACTCTGCCCATTTCTTTGCGCTGGCCCCTTGGTCCCAGCTGCCACCGGCTCACTTGCACTGCCACATCCTCCTCCTCAAAGGTCTGTTCTCACCACAACCACCAGAGCAATCTTTTAAAAATGTATTTTTCTGTCACACCTCTGCCCAAAGCCATGCATGCAGTCGTGTCCCCTTGCACTTAAGAGTAAAAGCTAAGGCCTTTGCAGTGTTCTCAGGCTCCGCCTGAGCTCGCTCCTCGCGGCCGCCCGCCCCTGCGTCCTTTAGCGCATCAGTCACACTTCTGCCCAGGGCTTGTTGCTCCCTGCTTCTGGAACGTTCTTCCTCAGAGATGCCTCGTCGCGCTTCGCCATGGTCTTTCCTGAAATGCCACCTTATTACTGGGTCTCTTTGGTCACTCAGTAGAATCCCACTCCCCCACCACTCGCAACTCCCCTCTCCTGCTCTGTTTTTCCTCATTGTGCTTACTACCAACCGATGCCCCTAATACGCTCACCTGGTCAATGGTTTAGTGCCCAGCCCTCCTGCCCTGGGAGTGTGGGCCCCGGGAGCGCAGGCCTCCGGCTGCTTCCCTCACTGCTGTGCACCTACAGTCTAGCTCAGGGCCTGGCACATGGCGAAGAGCTCAATAAATATTTGTGGAATGAGTAAATTCTTTAGTAAATTTAGAGAATTTTAAACCTTGAAAGTCCTCAGAAATGAGGTCATCCAATCTCCTCATTGTAAAACTGAGGAAGCTGTGGCCCAGGTGCTTGAAATGACTTGTTGAAGGGCATAGAGGTGGTTGGTCACAGGCCTTTCTGTACACGCTTTTGGATCATAGGACACATCTTGTTCTACAACTTGCCTTTTGTACTCAGCCACAAGGGTCCCCCTCCCCTTCACAATGGCTATTTGTCATCAATGTCTGTTCTATGTTTCAAGATGCTCAGACTAAATTACTAAACATGAATGGATATACTGAACGGAAGGTCCGTGAATTAACGGGTGAAGCAGCGAATGAGGCCGGGGGAGTGTGAGGCCGCGGTTGATGCGGCCGGAGCGCTGG